GTGTGTGTGTGTGTGTGTGTGTGTGTGTGTGTTGAGGGAAATGTCTTGGATTAAAAACTCTTTTTACCCATGAAGGCTAGGAAAGCTTAAGACCCTTGGTCTTTGTGGGATTTCATAATGGGCCACCCATGAAGAAAGTTGAAGTTGGCAGCTACAGTATGCCATTACAGTCCAATCTTTTTTAAAAAAATTTTTTTAAAAAAAACATTTCTACGGGATTCCCAATGAAAATCCAAATAGACATGAAAGTGACTGTTCTGGTTGATAAGATCTAGAAGAGGGCTAAGACATAAATTATGGGGTTACATTCTTTAAAAAATTGAGAATTTCCTTTGTGCTCTCTGAGCTTGGTTGTTTTCTTGCAGACATCTCTTAATCCAAACTAGGTAACAAAATCAGTGCTAGTAAGGAATGGGATTTGCAGTCAGAGGTGGTATTCAGTTCGGACTGGTTCACCTGAACCGGTAACCCCGGCTCCATGCCCTCCTATTTAGGCACATTTTTGAGGCTGAGTGCATGCGTGGAAAGCGTTCGTGTGAGCAAAGCGCATGCGCAGGAGGCTGGGCACATGTGCGGAAGGCGCACGCATGCGAACCAGTGGTAACTAAATGTGCAACCCACTGCTGGGTTTACTCTCAATTTATATTCTTGCCCTGTCAATGTTGGGGCAAGTGGCCTTGGGAGTTCTTTGGGCTGTTTACTGTTAGCTTGTTTGGCAGCTCCTGGATTGGGGTATTGTTTACTTTTTGGTTGCTAGTTTATTTTAATCTTGTTGTTAATCTATGCTCATCTGGGTGTTTGATTACTGGTGAGGAGGTGTTTTGGTCTTTTTGCTCCTTTTTTTGGCTTGTTGATTGTCTCTTGAACATTAGGCGGATATTGTTTATGTTTATGTGTCTACTGATACCAATTTGTCTGGCTACCAGGAATATTTGAGCATTTTTGGTCTTCTGTCTGCTAGTTGCTGTTCATGGATGTGTTCTGCTAGTTTTTAAAAGATTGGAATTACAAATTTCATTTTGTCCAATTGGCCAGTTCCAGTCAGCTTCTTTAATGATACAATTGTTCTTAACAAATTTAGATGGATATAAAGAGAAAGGTGCATTGTTCTCAGGATTGGGGTCAAAGTCAGAAGAAATCACCCACAAATATGGGTGAAACAAAATAGGTGCCTTTTACTTCCAGTAGTGAACCAGTGACACCTGTAAAAGGGACAGATAGAGAGAGCTAGTGTCTCTTAAAGAGATAGGATCATGTACTCATGGGCCTTGACTCAGCAGCGTGGAAAACAATCTAATTTGCTTTTGAATTATTCAGAGCCATCCCAGCGCAAGTTAGTTTGAGGTTGAAATGATATCAACAAGCCACCCATTAATAGTAACTAATTTCTAGTGAGAGAACTGTGGCACATAGAGGAATAGTAATTTTTATAAGATGATCCTTGCCAAACATTGTGATGGCTTAAAGCATAGAAATGCAAACATTTTAGAAGGACTACTACAGCATTGTGGTTATTTTTCTATTTTTTTTAAAAAAAAACATATTTTAAAGAAGAGGGAAGTTCTTGGTTTAAATAAACAGTTTCTAAGAGCAACATTGTCAGGCAATTGAGTAAATCTTGGGTTGCTGCACCAAAGCAAGACTCGGCAGGACTGTAAAAAGTGAAGTGCAGTGGAAGATCTTTCCCCAAGGCGGTGCTGATCCCAGGCTAAGATACGAAGCCTGACAAAAAGTTCTGAAAAGTTGACAAATGTTGGAGTGAAGACAAATGAACTTGGCTGAGAAACAAGCTACAAGGCTGAAGTACCAATCATTGTCCATACCTAAGTTATGCTTGGAAGGTTTTAAATAAGCAGACCAGATCAGAAGAACTGTTGATGGTGGGGATACTCTGGGTCTTCCTTCCTTCACTTTGTGGTATTCAGTGATTCGGTGATTTGGGGGTTTCCAGAAAATCAGAAGAGTGCTTGAACCTTAAACTCTCTTCATTTGTTAATGACAGTGATGATGGTTACTAATACCGCTGTTGACTTTACATTGCTATAAAAATTATTCTGCTATATTTTATTAAATATATAACTAGACCATTTGATTCAGAATATTTTTCCCTTGTTTTCTTCTTCTAAAACCTAGGTATGTCTTATAGTCAGGTGCATCTTATACTCCAAAAAATACGATAATCTGTGTAACAATGCCACTGGTATTCAACAGTGGCCCTTGCATAAGGCTTTGAACCTCTAGAAATAGGTTCTCATTTTTAGTGTCTGGTTCAAAATCTGAGATCTAAGTAATGTAGTTTCTGCTTCCAAAGCCATCCTGGAATCCATCACCTCATCATCTAGAGAAGGTGACATATTTGAGCTGCTATCTCATTCCCTGCCACCCCTCCATTTTAGTAAGGAGTTTAACCAGATTAAAAGTTTAACCAGTTTGAAATACAATGTTACAGCTCCAGGAAAAGAACCAGAAAGTGGTTGTTCAAATGAAAAATAATCCTCATTTGATAACCATTCGTTTAGCAACTGTTTGAAGTTGTAATGGTACTGAAAAAGTGACCATTCCTCACACTTACAACAGTGGTGGATTAAAAAAAAATTACTACTGGTTCTGTGGGCATGGCTTGGTGGGCATGGCTTGCTAGGCCTGACAGGGGAAGGTTACTGCAAAATCCCCATTCCCTCCCGATCAGCTGAGACTCAGGAGGCAGAGAATAGATGGGGTGGGGCCAGTCAGAGGTGGTATTTGCCAAACTACTCAAAATTTCCACTACTGGTTCTCCAGAACTGGTCAGAACCTGCTGAATACCACCTCTGCTGGCAACCATTGCAGCATCCTCATGTTCAAAATTTGGGCACTTAGCAACCAGCATGTATTTATCAGTGTGATGAATCCTCCGGATGCTTCCCCAGATACCTCTCCAGATGTCAGTTCAGGGGAGGATGAACCAGTTCCTGGCACATCAGGAGGATAGTTGGTCAATGGCTCCAAGCAGCTGTCTGTGAGGGATATGGCTGAAGCACAACTGCAGCAGGACAGCCCTGAGGCATCAGAAGGGGAAAGCATGTACCTGCAGCCGATCAGGGATGAAGAGGAGGAACTGCCTTCTGCAATTGATCCAAGAACACATAGGGCAGAGAAAAGGCAGGAGCACAAAAGGTCATCCAGATTACTCGCAGGGAGAAAGCTTTGTCCTTCTTGATGGGCTGCTGTTTAGTAAAGCAGACAGGTGGAGGCGATGCTGGGAACAATGTGTTCTTTTCCCAGCTGTGTGTTTTCTGGTCGTTGTGATTCCTGCCTTGCTTTGGATTGGCACCCTGCCTTGACTTGGAGCATGCCTTGTGATCCCTGGACTTTTCTTGCCTCAGGAACCCTTTCGTATTGTGGATTTAATTTTGCATGTTGGGTTTATTTTGATTGGGAAACTTTCAAGTGCCTTGTGGACTTATTGGCCAAACAGTATATAAGGCTAAGTGACATTGCTATTTCTCTCTGGACTAGCATTGGTCTTCTTGTGGCTGGACTGAATTGGATCAGTTCTGGGTTTTTGGTGAAGGGAATTTCTGGGGAATATTAATACAGCCACTAAACCATAGTTATGTGTGTGAGTGAGTGAGCAGGACAGCACAATGACGATTGTTCCTGCATCCTGGGGTCAAACAATCACCATTTGTGACCTTCCCATCTGGCTTCCGATAAACAAAGTCAACAGGGGAAGAAAGATTCACTTAACAACATCATTATTCATTTAACAACTGTAGTGATTTGCTTTATTGCAGCAAAAAATTGTTAAAATGGGACACAATTCACTTAGCAATCACATTGCTTAGCAATGGAAATTTTGGTCCATTGTGGACATACATTGAGAACTACCTGTTTGTGTAAGTGTAAATGTGTAATGTGTAAAGGCATTCAGTTATAGCAATTATGCGCTCTGCTTTTATTCAGCTTCTCTATCCCAATTCTACATCTGCAAATTTGAATAATTGGTTCAACATACCAGTTTTATTGGTTTGGGAATGAACCATATCCTAAGTATATGCATTTTGCATTTTTATCTTCAATCACTATTTTTTTAATGCCTTCCAAATTGGTGTACTTAAATCGCATCTAGGGAGACTGGTTATAATGAAAATGGAATTCTATAAAATTATGATAGCTTTGCAGCTGAAAAATCACAGAGATTTCAACCATAGTTGCTGAACATCTGTCATGGGTTTGAAGTGGCTTTTGAATGCTTTCAAACTCCCGAATAATATGAATAATATAATGTGTATGAATGAGTAATTTGGACCAGCCTTTCCAGTTTGGCCCCTACAGCGGCTAGCTAGAAAATTTGTTGTCATTCACATATGGAGGAAGAGCCGCATTATGTTTAATCAGATGCCAATTATAGTGTATAAATCCCTTCACTGACTTCTATCAGCCACACATGGAAGACTACTGTCCTGCCAAAAGGGTGCAAAAAGAGGGCAGAGAAGAGCTTTTTCAAAATGATGGGATCCAAAGATGTATTTGGTCATTTCCAAGGAGGTTCAGAGGTTGGTGGTGGCGATGACTGAGCCACTGAAGTTCTGTTTCTGTTTTTTTAGGTGTGTGGCATCTGTACAGGTCCCACGTACTTTCCACACCCCTGATTTTTTTAAACATTCTCTGATCAAAATGCTTTGGAACAGTGTTTCCGCCTTTGGCTAAAGAGCAGAACATCTTGTTCTCCATGCCGTTTATGTGACAACTCTGACGTCTAGCTTTTCCTCCCTGGATCCCATCCTCCGACATAACTCTCGTTGCCAGAACTGGATGCAAATCACTCTGACTCCTGGGCTGGAGTAGGTTCCTCCCATTGGCCTTAAAATCACAGATACAATGACAAGCCGGAAAAAATATGTTGGTTCAAATTCACAAAATGACAAGTATATTGATGTGATATGTTTAAATGTAAGTGTCTTAATTCTAAGAATGTTGACATGGAGATTTTACTAATATAAGTAGGCACCAGGGTCTTCAAGAATTTGGTTTGGAGAGGAAGAGAGAAGAAACAAAGTTGGTGTGTAATATAAGATAAGATAGCTAAGATAACCTTTATTGTAATTTTTTTACAGTGTAAACAAACTGGCACACTTTAAAAATGAAATTCTGTTGCCTGCTCTCAAAAGAATATATACATATGCACATGCTATATATACATACACACAGCACGCTCACATTTGCAAACCAATAGCAAAGTGAATCCCATTACTCATATATATATGTATATATATGTGTGTGTGTGTATGCATACATATATATGCATGCATATATACATATACAGTACACATATATACATACATACATGTCCACTTCGAATACACAGCAGAAGGAAACTTGACAGTTCATAAGGTTGATACTACATGGAACAAAGCTGTAACTGAATCTACATGTTGTGCTCAGTGGTGAAATTCAAACTTTTTTACTACCGGTTCTGTGGGCGTGGCTTGGTGGGTGTGGCAGGGGAAGGATATTGCAAAATCCCCATTTCCACCCCACACTGGGGCCAGCCAGAGGTGGTATTTGTCG